CCTTATTCAATCCCTGCTTGCATGTTCTACATAGTTGAAGGTTATAAGCTGTTGAGTCTTTTGCTGTATTCCAGATTCCTTATTTCCTCCTTGTGTGCATGTTCCATTTAGATCGTGGTGATGATGATGCGGTGTTCGTTGAAGAGCGTCGTGGTGACTGGCCTGGGTTTAACGAAGGTAGTAATCTGATTTCTCTCTCAACTCCTCAAGATTGCGTTTTCTCTATTAAGATCGTGGTGAGGATGATGTGGCTTTTGTTGAAGAGCATCGTGGTGAATGGTGTGAGTTTAATGAAGCTAGTAATCTAATTTATCTCTGAAGTATTCAAGATCACCTTTCTCTATTATTTCTCTATTAAGATCGTGGTGAGGATGATGTGGCTTTTGTTGAAGAGCGTCGTGGTGAATGATGTGAGTTTAATGAAGCTAGTAATCTAATCTATCTCTCAAGTGTTCTAGATCGCGTTTGAAGGATTTAAAATGTTTGATAGGTATATTACTAGAAAATAAACAGAACGAAATCACTTATTTCCGTATGAAACTCTTAATGATTTCTTTAACGTCAAATCTGATTTGAATACTTTTTGTCTTTTGTAAAAAGTGATCATTCTGTGTGTAGAAAAGCATGTTTTCTTGCTTCGGAGTTAGTAGTTAATAAATTCGAAAGAATTCAGCCGTTCCAAAAAGCTCTGAATTCACAAATTCAGGGGTACTAAATATCGGCAAGTTCAGAAATTCAGACGCTCTAAAAATCTATTAATTCATAACTTCAGATGTTCCAAAAATCATTAAATTCGAAAAAATTCAGACATTCCAAAAAGCTGCGAATGGACAAATTCAGAAATACTGAAAATCGGTAAAGTCAAAAAAAGTCAGAGATTCTAAATAGCTGTGGATGCACAAATTCAGAAATACTGAAAATCGGTAAATTCGTACGTTCAGACATTCTAAAAATCTCGAAATTCAGACGCTCTAAAAATCGGTAAATTCAGAAATTCAGACATTCTACAAAGCTGTGAATTGAGAAATTGAGAAACTCCAAAAATCGGTAATTAACCTGCGACTATCAGTAGTATGTAACCGATTTCGAATTTGAGAAGCGGTATTGGTAATGATAATAATTAACTTGAGAGGATATATGATGCTATGAAAAATAGGTTCCCACATTAATTACAGTAACAGTCTTAAGCAGATTCTTCCATTCAGCAGAGGATTGCTAATGGTATGAAGGTGATTTTGGTATAACTGCCATATTAGAAATACGACTATGAAGTTAATACTAATTAACCTGGGAGCATCAATACTACTTGAATGCATCTCTGCATTCAAAAGGCATATTCATTATATTAGTAATTAGCAGCAACCTCATACTTTTAGTTCTAATGAAACTGTAATTAAGACAATTACTAAGCTTTATTGTTAACCTGGCAACTTCGGGAATCCTCTCCAAAACAAAGAATCGGATTAAAAGTGTTCTTGCAATGGATGTGGGAATTTATATATACCAGTACGTCTGCTCTAACTTTAACCAATATAAATATAAATATACCTTTTCAAGTTATAGTTATGAAATGCACTGTGCTGACATACTACCAGTTTTCAATCCCAACCGAAAGTCAAACTTACCGAAGTCGTTCACCATAAATTCTACCATAGCAGTCATGAAGAAAAAATTCAAATAAAAGTAAATAACTTGAACAGTTCGCCAGTGAAATGTAAACGAAAATGAAAAGTAGTTAGCTAGCAAATAGTCGTATTTATACCCGTTTATGTAACCGTCAGTCTCTTTCATTTTCTTTTCGAACATACAGTTTATGTTATTGTGCAGGTGTTATAGCGTTACACAGATGGCCGACCGTCATCGAGGGTATGTAAGATAACAACAGCTTAAATCTTCTTCTAATTCTTTTCTGTTTCTTGTTCCTTCTAATATTCTCTTTGTCATATTTAACTAGGTGGTTTCGCATTTGTCAAAAGTAATAATCTCGTAACATGTGATGCTTCAGCATGTCAATGTGGCTGTTGCCATATTTATCCTTTTTCTGAAACTGCTTCCTTTAGTCACACCTCGGGATGTTCGGTTCTCGATTCTCGTGACAACCGGAACCGCCGTTTCTTCAACGGTTCCTTTTTTTCGAAACTAACGAGGGAACCTTTCGAGGTGATTAAACGCTTTTTGCTCGGAATCTAGTGGGTTATAGGTTATCGACCATGCTAATTCCAAATATGGCCAAGGGGATTACCCTTAGCCCTTCGAAGATCCAGTTTTCTAGAAAACCAGTTTTTCAGAAACTTTAAAATATAATTAGAACCTTTCTTAATGAGACATGATTGTAGCCCGCAAAGTTTTGATTAAAATGAGACATCTTTCAGCTCTACACACCTTTTCTTTGCAAAGTTATAGAATTTTCAAGAAAAGTCCTAAATTACTTCGTCTTATTTCTACTGCTTTGAGCTGACAATGAATACTTAGGGCTCTATAACTTTGCAAAGAAAAGGTGTGTAGAGCTGAATCAAAATTTGCGGGCTACAATTCTATATTGTTAAGAAAGCTTCGGCCTATTTTTTGGAGTTTCTGAAAAACTGGTTTTTCAGAAGAACGGACCTTAGAAGGGCTCTGGGGAACCCCATGGTCATATTCGGAATCAGCATGGTTGATAACCTACAACCCACTAGATTTCGATCAAAAAGCGATTTATCACCTCGGGAGGTTTCCTCGTTAGGGGTAACAAGTAACAGAGTAACAAAATAAGTTGATAAGAAAATAACAAAAAGAGTTACCACTTCCAGTAACAAGTAACTTTCAAACATTTCTTATTACTAGTAAAGAAATAGTCAAGTGACACCTCTGTGTATGACCGACACATGCCTATATGTAACTCGAGAAATCATAGGACATAACACAGATGATCAGAAGAAGAAACATATGGCATACTCCATCCACTAAGGGGCAAATACCAGATATTAAATTCGTTCGTTAAGTCAAGATGTAGATTTGTGCGTGCGCTTTTCTCGTTTTAGCCGTTTCAGGTTTTTGATTGTCGGTTGCAACCGGTAGAGGTAAAACCAAATGTTTTTTGCCAATAGTGAATAGATGTTATGTGCTAACCCTTTATTTCATTTTAAAACCTTAAACAAAAGTGTTTGGAATGTTTTCGGTGTCGATTTAAACCGAATATCAGCTTTTTCGTTGTCGCTTAGTGGACACATACCTATTCATTATTCTTAGATAACGCAACTTCTCCACACATTTTTTCACTAATATCATCTGGAACAGATGATGCTCCGCAAACGATACTGCCTTATCAAAAGAGGCGTTGAGCATTGTAGGTTGTGTGAACGGAATTAAAACCTTATAAATGTCAATTGTTTGTAACTACTGTAGCATTTTTGGTAGCAAAAAATGTTAACAGTTTTTTATATATATTAATCCTTACTAAAGTCAAGGGAAAAAACAATTAGAGAGAAAAACTGGACTGCAGTTTCTATACACTACTTGCGAAGCTTACATAGTTTGATTCAGCTGACAACAATAGACATCGGAGGCCAGAAATACAACAACTTTTTTCCTGCTCGGGCTCGATTAAAGTTTCAAAACCTCGGTTTGGTCCCGGTTGATTTCCACTCAAAATATTACATTATTTGGGGCACATGACTGGTTTGATCTTAACAAAACCAAACAGAAAGGTATTCAAAACATTTTGAAAGAACGTACGTGATCACACTACCGTCACTAAAATTCACATACGATCCAAACTATTGAAATTATCCATTACGAAAACTAAATCTATCGTCACAAAATTAAATTATCCATTAAAAAAGAAAAATTCGTAGTCACAAATTTAAAATACCCGCTGCAAACTCTAAATAATAACACTTTAACATCATATAATAAATAACATTTCATAAGGATATTATTGACACACCGACATCACTCAAATCCGAAAGACAAACTTGCCTCTAAGAAAGGTTGGCGCGATTTTCTTTATAGTATATATAAATTCTTTACTATCAGCGCCTTGTTTCTGTTCTTCAGAAATGCTCTCAACCGAAAGAATTCAACAGTTATCATTTGATCACTACTGTTGACCGAGCAAGCCACGTTTTATCAGTCTACTGTCACTGAAAGACCTGTCTGTGATTTTCTGTGTCGTTCGATCCTAAGAGTTTGCTGGCATTTATTCTACCTGAAATGTCTAGCTTTGGTATTATAATTTATCTGAGAAATGCTCTCTAGATTTTAAAAAGCGTACCATCTTCTTTAAGTTCCCAAGTAAATAGAAATGACCGGAGATGTAGCCAATCAAACTTTTTATTCTGTCGTGAGAATCATCGTTATATGCACATTGTCATGACTAAGGATCCCCTTCTTTGTTGATCTTAGCTATTCGCATGTGTTCGATCTTCTCTTTCATGCATTAGCTCTCTTTTATAAAGAAACATTTATCCTGTTAATAGCAACTTTCAAAAATGCTGTCTGAAAAACTACGATAAAATTATTTTCATAAGAGTTTACATCACTGTATTAACAAAAATACTGCAAATTCTCTATCATAACAACAATAAACATTAAAATTAAAAAGAGGTGAAAAGCCTTAAGAATGCTGACTGTTATGCATTTTATTCATTAGCAATCTAAAAAGCAATATTCAGAAAAAACGCGTTTTCAACTACTAGAGTCGTAATATACTGCAGTTCGACCGGATCGTCTGTTGAATCAGGGATGTTATATCAGAAATGTCAGTCTTATTAAGGCTCCCAGGAGAGTGATCAAGTCAAGCTATTTCTAGTGAGAGATTTTTCTTTAAATCACGTATCTTTTACCATGAAACAAAGTTTCTGAAACTTTAAAAACTGTTTCTCACCTAAAAGACTAGCAAATTTCGTGGTCTATCTATTTTTTAATCAGACTTAACTTGATTTGGAGGAAGAAATTTCGACGGGCTGACTAAGTTATGCAAAACAAGTTTGTATGTAAATAACATGCTCAAATATCAAATATTATTCGAGCCACCATAGTGTCGTCAGAACAGCCAGTGGTACACCACATAAAATCAAGCCAATAACAAGAAAAAGAACGTTTGTGGATGTTAATTTGGCACGTATTTTACCGAAGCTAAAAGAACTAAAAATAAAAAATCAGATGTTAAAGAAAGAAGCCTGATTCTACTTTGTTGATTCCTTTTGAACGGCTGCATTCATATTTCTCGTATTCGGTGGTGTTGCCCAAGCATCTGGGCGAATCATATGGGCTGTTGATGCCGTTTCAAATTTTGGGTCGACAAATGAAACGCTGGCAGTAGAATGTTGTAGTGGTGGACCAAAATGACTTGCTCGATTCATTGTCTGCTGATGTTGCTGGTAATTTTGATCCAATGTACCATTTCGAGCAACCGGCAGCAAAGAAAAATCATTCCGTTTTGGTGTTGTATAAGAAGAATACAACTGATCTTCGCTTGAATCCTAAACGTAAGTCTCAGTCATTATGTAACCTAACCGACACCAGTGTTTATAATACGTACCATTCAACTGTTTCTCCTTTATTTCACAAAGGTGGCATCAAAAGTACGAGCTATCTGCTGCTACTCTTGGTCGAACTGCACTATATTACGACTCTAGTAGTTGAAAACGCGTTTTTTCTGAATATTGCTTTTTAGATTACTAATGAATAAAATGCATAACAGCCAACATTCTTAAGGCTTTTCATCTCTTTTTAATTTTAATAATTATTGTTTATATATAATGAAAAACAGAATTTTGCGTTTATTCTTATGTTAATGGAAGAAAAACCAATTATAGCTGAATTGTACTCCAAAATATATCACAAAAAACAACATGCAATGATGTCAGACATACTGACTTTTGCTATCTTTCCTGCGCGTGTAACTATTTTTAACAGAATAAATAAAAACTATTCATTAATATGATACTCTCTTACTAAGCACGTCGAACTTTTACCTTTAGTTGTACTTGCACATTGTATATTCATTGTGCATCAAAATTATGTGTTCGAACTTTTTCCTTTCTCATGTGAGAAACGAAAAACAAATTTAACTCAATATCGACCGTTTCACCTTTCCCCGATCTGTCGATATTGCTAATTCGAGCAAGGTCGGTATTGCCTGTTTTGGCAATATATCTTGCAAGAATAGGCAACATATGAATAATAGATTTATTTGTGCTTACACACATTTATGTGAGTACGGAGCCTTACTAGAGTGTTTCTTTTCATGTAAAGCACATTGGAATGTTAAAGATAACAAGAATTGTGATTATTGATAAGCTGTAATTTATAGGATACACCTCCGTGGCTTTTATCACGTTCCATATTACTGCAAATCGCATTTCCAGGTATACCACTCATAGATTTGAAGTTGTTAAACAGTGGTATACTTTTGTAGTCTAAACTGAACAAGAGAGACTACCACTAATACTTTAAAAACTAGAAGACGCAGAGAGTCGAAATAGCACACGTAGCTTTGCATATGAAGACTAATACGAGGAAAAATATTTTTTCCTTTCTGTAATAAACTCATCCGACTCATATTAAATAACACATATTAACATCGAGAACGGCGCTTTGTGCCTAATCGAGCAAGGCTTATTATCCGTTCTGGTAATAAAACCCTGAAAGAGGCTTCTTCCTTACTCTAGAAAAGTAAGCGCAGTTTCTGACGTTCTTTCAAGCGAAATAAGTCTCTTCATGCGTCATCGCCTCCATTTTTGCCCTGATGCGTTCCCAAAAAAAAATATGGAAATCTGGTAGGAAGGGACAATATACTCCTTGCCTGACTATACAATATTGCCCCATCGGGTCAGAAGTCGTGACAAGGGACTGTCTGAACGTGTAACCTCTTTTTAACTTTGATGTTTGTTGTTATTATATACTCGACGAAAGGAATCCGTGTTTATTCTTATTATGCTGAAAGGAAAACTAATTATAGAAGAATTATACTGCAGAATACATTGCAAAAAACAACATACGATGATGGCAGACATACTCACTTTTTCTATCATTGCTGCACGTGTAACTTCTTGTTCAGTTGTCTTTATCAGTTGTTTTATCAAAATGGAATTTCGTCTTATTCTCCATTGTATTTTCTACGAAAGCTATGATTATTCTGCTAAGATCCTTAAGAAGATTGACATTTCTGATACAATATCCCTGCTTCAATACACGACCCAGTCGAACTGCAGTACACTACGACGTGGGTGCTAGAAAATATGTTTTTTGTGAAGTATGTGTTGTTTTATTGCTTTTTAAATTGCTAATGAATAAAATGCATGCAGCAATCATTCTTAGGGCTTTTCATCTCTTTTGTTTATCGTTGTTATATAATTAAAAAAAGATTTTTGAGATCGTGAGACCCGAAAATTCTCAGATTTGATAAGATTATTCTAAGATCTTACTAAAATTGTACTGTCTAAGACTTTTTCAAGATTGGATAAGAATGTATTAGGATCTTAATAGTAAAAACGACAACGTTTTTTAAATAATATTCATCCGAGATTCACTGGAAATTTTTCGAGTTTTAATTCGCATTATCCAAAGCAGCAGTTGAACAGTGTTGAAGAATCAAGAAAAATTTCATATTTTCAGGTGTCCAACTATGGACATTGACCTGCATGTACACTCTCTAAAAAGTCGTTGAACACTTTCGAGAGAGAGCAAGTACCAGCAGAGTCTGGCAGAAAAATAATCATATAATCACTCATATTTTCGGTCACTTATATAGATGAATGCGAACAAAACAAAACGGTGAATGAAAGCAGGGTCATTAAATCTTATTAAGATCTTAAACGATAAGATTGTGGATTATCTTATCAAAATCTTAAAGGATAAGATCTTAGTAAGATATTTTTTAAGAAGTGTCTAAGAGTTTTACTAGGGTAGTTGATACATTAGCTTTGCTAAGTGTTTTTTGAAATTCTGTTTCTTGAAGATATGATGTTATAGGATTTGTTTTTTTCCATCAATCTTTCTATCATATAATGCGTACTATCCAACGTGTTACGACATCAGAAATCGATAGCTGACGTTATTTTGTGTTAAATAACTCTTGAAAAGTATTTAAAGTTTTCTCTAGCTAAATGACTATTTTTGATTAATGAAAATATTTTTCTAGCAGTTTACTAATGCTTTTTGTATTTCATCTAATTCATATGGGTAATTCCACCGTATATATGGCACGTTTACATCGACTTCTTCCAAATCAAATTTGAATACCCTAGTTGTGTAGAGCATAGTCGAAGTGAGAAAAACTATTGAAAGGATTCGACATTATGCTGAAAATTTCATGGAAACACTGAAACAGAAATCAAAGTTAGATTGTTTAGTTGTCGCTGTTGAAGAAACCGATGCATTGGTGGATGGTCTTATAATGTTGTTCAAGGAGAGCGATTGTGACGAACAAATACGTTTATTGACAATAGCGCCACCTTCATGGGGCGTACCAAAATCGCGTCTTTCTTCTCGTGTAACAGATATTAAGCGGAAAAATCGATTGAAATTCGACAACAGTTCGGTATATTACACTCTCGTATTGATGAAGACTAGACATTCGTACTTCCATGTTCGAAGTCATCATTTCGGCATTTTTCGATGAAGTGTTTATCCTTTTATAGGAGAGATTCACAGTGGATCTTTTATAACCAAAGTGAGGTTATCGACTATGCTCTACACAACTAGGGTATTTAAATTTGATTTGGAAGAAGTCATGTATAAAGTGCCATATATACGGTGGAATTACCGAATCGACCGAACGTGTTTTATTATTGAATGATTGTTTGGATAAATTATTTATAAGTTTGTGTTTGTTAGGAGGCTGATGTTTGAGATGATATAAAAGACTTGATATTCCTGATGTTGCATGCTTAGTTATTACTTTACATAGTGTAGCTTCAGTTATGGTCAGTTAGTGTAGCATCAGTTATGGTTTCCTTCGAGGAAGACAGAGTTAAGGCATGATAAGCAACACAACTCCGTCCACATCGTATTCCGTCATTATCGTTAACCCTTTGAGGACCGGTGGTCCAAAAATGGACCACCTGTTTCTCAATAAAGGAAAAACTGTTTAGTTTACATTAAACTAATACACATGTAAGGTTATTAAGGTCATAAACAACTACATGTGTCA